TGATGATGGACTTTTATTTCACTCACATGCAGATTTGTAATAAAATGCCAAATTCTGTCAGAAGCTATACAAATAAGCCACCATTTGTTCTCATTGCTTCTCTGAACCCAGAAATATTGCCATTTGTGGAGACTGTCCCGTTGCTTCGTATCTCTACCAGCGTAGTTCTGCCCGCCTGTCGCCCTCTCACTTCTCGCCTGCTCATCATGGGAGGATACCTCTGTGAAAGCCGGCAGCCCCTCAGGGACTCCCAGCCCTGGCATGGCAACCCAGGGTTTGCCCCATCAGAGGCCTGGCCCTGGGAGAGCGAGGCAGTGGGTGGGCCCTCCCGCAGGCCTAGGCAGTTTGTCCCGTCCAGCCTGGGCAGTCCCCGGGTCAGGCTTTGAGCATGCTGGCGGGCAGCCCTGGCTGCTCCACAACCAAACAGCTGTGTCCTCGAGAAGGGGAGAGCTGTGGAGCGGCCACCGCTGACCCGAGCCCACTCAGGAATTCACGCCTACCGGTTCCTCGGAGTGCGCTGGGTCCTCCCCGTCTGCCCTGCCCCTCCCCGCCACACCCATGGCGGAGAATAGGCTTTCTGAGATGCCGCGATCCCGTTCTGCTGCCCTTAATAAAAATGCTCTCCGACACTGGTTTGGTCTTGTGGGTTTCTTCCTTACTGGGAGTGGGCAGAGCCCGGGGCCTATGTTCTTGTATACGGGGGAGGGGCGGCCAGGGCACAGGCTCACTCTTCTGCCTGCTCCTCTCTCCCCACGCCCAGCTTTTCCAGAAGAGAGTACAGGGGCGTGTGGCCTTCCCAGGAGGGAAGCCGAAAAGGCTGGAGATCCAGACCATCAGGGCCTGCTAAGGGGCACCTTGGGTGTCAGGGGAGGGGACAGTGGCCTCTATGTATATGCCTCATTTCAGTACACTTCTCAGTCCCAAGAGAGTGATACTATCAGAGGAGCAGAGACCGAGGCCCTGAGGAAGGGTGGCTGTCTTGTTCAACATCACCGAACTCAGGAGGGTGTGCCTGAGGGTGGGGCTAGGCCATTTCCTTGAATGATTCCAGCCAGGAACCTGGCCTCCAAGTCCCAGTGACCTCCTGTTGTAGTATTGACACAGCATGGGGCCGTGATGCTTGTTTCTTATTTCCCTGTCTGGAATTTGACACCAGTGGAGACCAGACCTGCCCTGTCAGATAGGTCTGCAGATGTCCAGAAGGAACATTCCTGGGATGTCATTTTACCAGGAAGCAAGGAGCCGGTCCTTTCCCTTGATCATCAGGAGGGTACTCTGCCATGTTCTAGCACTTCATCCTCCATGACTCTCAAGACAACCCCATGGACACCATTATCCCTATTTTTACAGAGGAAGAGACTGAGGTTCAGTGACAGCCAAGGAAACCAGGCCTGAGTTTTTACAGTCTAGCTCCAGAGCCTGTTACAGTCCACCCCTCAGGTTCTTTGGAGCCTGACCCTTGCCAAATCCGGAGCCCTACGGGACCTTCTCTCAACTTTCTCAACTCCAGAGCCACCATTTTCTTGCCTTCCTCACTCTTGTATTAATTGTTTAGCTCAAAATATGCATCTACTTCATCACTCCAGTGCCCACGGCAGCCTGGCTTCTGTCAGCCCCTGGCTCCCTGAGGCTGCCGCTGGCAAGGGCCCCAGGACTTCCTCATTGCACAGTCCACAGGCTGGCGGCCTCTCAGCCCCGCTCTCTTTCTTCAGTTGGCAGCACCTCCGTGTCCCACCCTGCCAGGGCAGCCCCCTGACCCAGTCGAAGGCAAAGCCAGAGCTGGTCTTGGTTCTTCCTGCCCCGTCTGCACTGGCTCTTCCTCCTCTCCCTGTGTCCCTCGTGCAGCACAGGGTGATGGCACCAGCCGGAGAAGGAGCAGAGCTGAAGGTAGCCTGGCTCAGGCGGTACTTGCTAGATAGCTGTTTCCTGGATGATTGGAACATGTTCTTGCAGAAGGGCTCCTGGGGGCACCTGCATGCCTCTCAGGATCAGAGCGCAAATGGCTGCCCGACAGCAGAGGCCGTGACTGAGGCCCAGAGAAAGAAGTCATTTCTTCAGAGGGCATTCTCCGAGCAGGCCTGACTTGGTTAGGAATCCCCTTTTGCCCCACACTCTGCTTTGTGTTCCTCCCCCAGTCCCCTCCCACTGCAGTCTGGATCATACCAGCTATCCCCATGTTCATGCCAGACTGAGTTCCTTGCAGGCTGGGCTGTCCTGGCACCCAGCCCTGGCCCGGCCCACAATAGACCTTCCTTCCATAACTGGTGAATGGGTGGACAACAGTAAACCCCTTGCCTAAGCCACCCAGTGCGCAGCAGGTTTGACATAGGAATACCCCCATCTCCCCAGTGGGGCTGCTAATGACCAGCTCCGCAACAGGCCCTGTACGGCCTGCAGCCTTCTTTCTGCCTTATCACTTTGCCTCCCCTTGTGAGGTGGACCTCGGTCTCCAGATTATTCTACCAGTGTGGCCATGGCCCCTCTCTTCTCTCCACTGTTACGTGCTCATGGTCCCTAGGGCTGATCTGGGTCTTCAACTCTGCTCACTCCTCTCTCCCTCCCTGAGCAACAGGAGCCTGCTCTGCAGCTTCATCTTGTCTGTGCAGACCCCAAATCTCTCCTGTCCACCCACACCTCTGTCCTGAGCCTCAGAGCCACACAGCCAGCTGCCTCCTCCTTTCAGAATGGTGGAACCCCTTCCCGCCCCGCCAAAGGAGGTGCCTCTGTGCCAGCAGGCTGCCTTCAGGCCACCCCTACCAGCTCCAGCCAGCAGCCTGCAGGAGTGTGGCCAGACCCCACTGGACTGAGGCAAGGAGGTGAGGGCAAGGCACTAGGAGGGACTAAGTGATTCCAGTTTACAGCCATGGAGGAAGGGTAGGAGGAAAGGGCCTGTTGCTGAAAGAATCATGGTCAAGGGAAGGTTAGTATGAAAGATGGAGCCAGAAAAGAGTGGGCTGAAGCCACAGTCAAGGGGGTAGAGGTGTAGGATGGGGGCAGCAGGAAGGAGGAGCAAGATCCCACCCTTACCCCTTCAGAAAGCTATACATCCCTCAGGGCTGCCTAGGCCGAGAGAGCTCTTTGGGCGCCCGATTCCTTGCCTGACACACGGCATGGTGAATAAATGAGCAGGTAGCTTCAAAGCCCTGCTCTGCCACTTCTACTTCTTGGTCTGTTAAGATGGAGATACTGGTCCCTGTGCATAGGGGGTTATGTGAGATTAAATGAGACAGGAAGGATCATCATCCCATCTGCGTTTCCACACTCCAGAGTGGGGCAGGACTCTGTGCTCCCAAGAACTCCCTGCCACCTTCCCCATCTGCTCCCTGCCTCTCCTTGATCCAAGACACATGGGCCCCAGTGACAGGGCATGCACACATCACCAGGTCTGGTGAGGAGTCCTGGATCCCATTTCCACAGAAGACTGTTCCTCCTGGAAAAATTTAAATAGGCTTCCAGGACCTCCTTAGATCCGCCCCTAGGATGGCAAAGGGATGCCTGTTAAGAACAGGTGACTTTTGGGGTGCCTTAAGCTTCTGACTCTTGATCTCAGCTGAGGTCTCGATCTCACGGTTGTGAGATCAAGCCCTGCAAAACAACAACAAAACAAGTGACTTTTTTTTCTTTTTCTTTTTCTTTGCATTTATTCTTCAGAATTTACTCCTGGGCCGTAAGTTTTTGTTTCTTGTTTCTTCTGGGATATCTTTTTCTTCTGTGCAACCTCCTCTTCTGGTTTAGGAACAATCTGCTCTTTTTCAGTAAGGATCATCTCAGTGTGGCAGGGAGAGCTCATGTATGGGTTAATCTGACCATGAGCCCTGTACGTTCTGTGCCACAACTTGGGGGCTTTGTTCACCTGGATGTGCTCAATGACCAGAGAATCAGCATCTAAACCCTTAAGTTCAGCATTACTCTCTGCATTTTTAAGCATGTGCCGTAAAAATTCAGCACTTTTCTTGGGCCACCAACCCTGTGTCCAGCCCCACTGTTGGGCCTGGGCATACCTACCAACTCCACCATTGTAGCGACGGAATGGCACACACTGCTTCTGTAAAGTGACTTCTTTCAGATACTTGGTGGCTTTTTGGATATGCATACCCTTGATGGCCTGGGCAGTTTCACGTGTGTTCTTAAAGTGAACACGAAGATTTGAACCTCTTGATTTACATGATTTCATAGGGTTTTCTGGGTCAAGCGAATAGCGAACCATTTTCAGAGGTCACCTCAGGCCACTTAGGGGAAGAGGAAGAAAAACAAGTGACTTTTTAAATAAAATTTGAGATTATGATATTACCTTCCAAAAAGTAGCCGGTGAGACATTCTTCTCCCAACCTCCCTCCTCCCAAAATAATAAACTTAAGCATGAACAAAACTAGAACTTGGAGTATGTTTTGCATATCTATTCTGTTATAATGACCTGGTTTGGGCCCTGAAGGAGTTGCTTTTGCCCTGTCTTGTGTCTGTGAACGTTTTCACAGTTCCCAGGGCACAGTTTAAAAGCCACCCAAACTTGGGGTCCCTGGGTGGCTCAGTTGGTTTGAGCCACTGTCTTTGGCTTAGGTCATTATCTCCAGGTCCTGGGATCGAGCCCCATATGGGGCTCCTTGCTCAGCGGGGAGTTTGCTTCTCTCTCTCTCTCCCTTTGCCCCCACCCCGATCGTTCTCTTTCTTTCTCTCTCTTTAAATAAACTTAAAAAAAAAATAAAAACCACCCAAATTTACAATACATATATTTTATTAATACAGCGCTCTCTCTCTACCATATTTGAGCAAGGAAGATGCTTTGGCAGGCCCCAGGCTCAGATGTCACAGGGCCTACCTGCCAGCAGCCAAGATGGGTTGCCAAAGCTCTGGCCGCCATTCTGAGCCATGAGGACCTGGACACAGAGGTGACAGGGGCCTGCCCAGGGAAGTATGTTACTGGACCCCGGCTCTCGGCCTGGTTCCAGGCTGTCCCGGGGCTTGACACTGTGCACTAAAGGACATTTATGCTTGGCTGGCTGTCAGGGGCATGGTGGGGAGGGCTCCAGGAATGTTTCCAGACTGGCTTCTCCAAGGACCCCTTCCCCAGGCCTCTTGGAGTCTAGGTTGTGGAGTGTGCAGAGCTGCACTCCCTCCTGTGCAAGTCGGGCCCGAAGTGTGGGCGCGGTGAGGACACGCAGCTCATGCAGCCGCTCCCAAGAGCAGGAAAAGGCATCGGGGCCCTCACCGCAGCCCCCGGCCGGAGGCACACTAGGGTAACCAGGGTGTGCCATCAGCTCAGCTGTCAGGGTGTGGCCCGTGGGTATGCCTTCCAGGGCCCAAGCTAGTGCTCCTGATACGCGGTGAGCAGACATGTGCCGACCGCAGGTGCTCAGGCCCACGAAGGCATCCGTCCACCTGTGGATGTAGGGGCATCAGTGGCGAGGACCAGCAGGGCTGTGATGGGCAGGGCTAGGGTGGGGGCGACGTCAGTGGACGCCTGAGGAACGGCCATGGCTGTCAGGTGAAGGGCCAGCAGCACCCACTGGGATATGGGCGGGGATATAGGCGGGACAGGGGCGGAGGGCCTCACCGTAGGCCGTGGCGGGAGAAGGGGCCCACAGCTGCCCGGGCGTCGCGCTCCACCGCACAGGCGAAGGCTTGCGCGGGGGCCTCGAGCCACGCGCAGCGGTCCACCCCGCACTCCACCGGCAACCGTGTGAAGTGCACCCCGTTGGCCTGTAGCGTCTCTGCGAACACCTGGCACACGCCTGCGGGCGGGGAGGAGTCAGGAAGTAGTACGGCCTACTACCTGGGATCACCTCTCATCCCGGGCGCCCCGCCAGGGAACAACGACCCCCCCCAACCTGGGAGCACGTGCACGTGCTGGTGCCCGTCCACGTGAGTGGGGTCCCTGCCCAGTAATTCTCGGAAGCGTATCAGCTGGGCCTCCAGCTCTTCCCGCACCTGGAGAGAGAACGACAAGGCACCTTGAATGTCGGGGAGCAGCAACCTAGGAGGACTCCCTCCAAGTGCCTCTGCGTGACTGCTCCAGTATGAACCAGGAAATCATCCATCGTGCGCCCCTGCCCCTAATGGCTTCACGGTACCCTCGGGACGAGCCTTGGGGGTCAACGCGAGCCTCTTCCTGCAGCCGCACCTCCGCACCTGGGGCAAGGCCACGTCTCCGGCCGCCACCGCCTCTCGAAATCCCATCTTGCCGAGGAAGAAGCCTTCGGGGCTGAGCAGCGACGAGGCGCCGGGGCGGGCCGGGCCCACGGGGCGGCCCTCGGACAGGTTGGCGTGGAGGCCCGTGGGGATTTGGTGCCTGCAGGCGGAGCGCGAGCGGGAGCACTGGCGGCCGGAGCGGCGGCTCCCTAAGCCCGCCCCGACCCTGTAGGGTGCAGCCACTCACCTGCGGGCCAGCTCCGCCGCGCTCTCTGCGGCTGTGCCGTTGACCAGCAGGGAAACGCTGGTCACAGCCCCTGCCAGGAAGGCCTCTACGATGCCCTCATCGCGCCGCGGGCAGTAACCAAAGTCGTCGGCGGTGACCACCAGCAGCACGCGCGGTCGAGCCATGGATTACTCCCGCGGACCGCTCAGGACTCTAGAGGACTGGATCCAGGCCCCACCCCTAGACGCAGTCCGAGGCTCCGCCCCGATGCGCACGCCCCGGCGCCGCTGCGCTTGGTCTTTGTTCTCGCCACCTACCGGTCCCGGTGTGGGCCTGCAGCGATCCCCCCCCCCACCACACAGTGCGCTCGCCCTAACCAAACACGATGGCTGGATATTGTAACGCGGAACTTTCAGTAACTGCAAAAACGTTATTCAGAATGAAAAATACAGGGGCGCCTGGGTGGCTCGGTCGGTTAAGCGCCTGCCTTCGGCTCAGGTCATGGTCTCAGGGCCCTGGGAATCTAGCCCCGGTGGGGCTCTCTGCTCACCCTGGAGTGGGCTTCCCCCTCTCCCTCTGTCCGGCCTCCCTGCTCGTGCTCTCTCAAATAAATACAATCTTTAAAAGAAATATGAAAAATAGCGGGGGGAACCCTGTTGGGAAAAAAAAATCATCGTACCTTTCCCTAAGTTCATCACTGTTAACTTTCTGGATAGTGTCCTTCCAGTATTTTTCTAAGCAAATAAACAAACCCGATTCCTTTTCTCCCCCACCCCAAAGTTTTTGTGTTGTTTTGAGACGATAATGATCACATCAGTGTTATCTCGTTCTTGCAATGTTTCATTTTTTGATAGTGACTATGAACTTTTTCAAATTGCCTATTTGGTGATTTTTTTTCTAGGAAGAGGCTTTTTCTTTCTTTCGTTCTTTCTTTTTCTTAAAATAAAAGTTCTAAGTTAGAAAACATGTATACCAATGGCTTCGTTTGAGGACGTGTTAGTCCCTGATTCCACAACTTGAGCTCTGTGTCAGGCTACAACTTACATTTATAATCTCATTTTTTCCCCCTCTGTAGTCCAGAAAAACTTTCCTTACTAATGACTATACAAATAGTCACCATGGTTGACAGAGAGTTTTTATTGTGATGTGGCTACGTTGATGTTCCCAATGGAAAGTGCAGCATTTGTGTCCAGCCCATGAGGTTGGTAATGTCATTCCTGTTTTACAGTTGAGGAAACTGATGATCAGAGGGGAGAAGTGTCTTGCCCAAAGTGAGCCTGCCAGGAGTAGTGGAGCTGGGACTGGCCTCCAAAGCTCTGGGCCTATTCTGGTTGTGCCTACCCTGGTTGTCTAGTCCCTAGCTCTCCCCTGGGTCAGGGGCAAAGAGGGCAGAGCTGAGCTTGAGCATAACAAATCATATGCTCCTCGTGGGATGTTGTACAGATCGGAGGCCTCATAGTGCTCTTCATCAAGCTCTTGGCATAAGGATTGTTGTGTTCAGTTGTGATTATTGAATTGTTGGACTTCAGCTATCTTTCTCCCCTGGGAAGCTGATCCTGGAAAGCCAGAGGCCCTGATGGCAAGCAGATTGGAAGGAGAAATTGACATTTATTCAGCACCTACTGGTTTTAGAAATATTAGAGATTGGGGGGAGTGCCTCAATTTGCACCCTGAAGGAACACCATCTGGTAGACAGGTAGCAATACAAGGCTTCTCAGAGGAGGTGACACCTGGAAGGGACATTAGTTTACTGGGCCTAGGGGGAAAGGAGGGAAAAGAGAGAGAGATACCCAGGGCTCTTGTTGGAGTGCCGGGTGTGTTGTATGCAGATTTGATTTAATCTCCATACTCCCATATGGAAGGACGCTCAACTATTTATAGAGGAGGAGCAAGATGATCAGAGAGGTTGAGTCACACTGTCAGGAAACAGCAGAGCTAGGAATTGAAGCTAGGTCTATGCCTTAGAACTGGGACTCTTACACTGCGCTCAGAGACACCGCACAGGGGAGAGGGCCGAAGACCACCCCCACCCCCAACCCCCGCTGGGGTCGTCCACGCTGGGCGAGGGGAGAACCCTAGGTAGGAGCAGTAAGAGAGCAGGAGGCCCAGGACAACGCAGCGACCAGAGTGGAGTCGAGGAAAGTGCTTGTGTCACCAGAGGAGGCCGTGCTTTGACCCTTTAGGGCTCCCCTCAGGTGCGCAGCCCGACTCCTCCTGGCTTGGGGGAGCAGTCAGAGGCATTCCCTGACACCACAGCGAGTGTGGGCGGGGCAAAGACAGAGCGGCGAGGGAGGGGCCAGTCTGGGTCCCGACCCCAGCCATTGTGACGGGTGGGGGGCTAGAAGGCATTGTGAGCCAATCAGGACGTAGCATGTAAATGAGCAAGCGGGGCAGGTGGGGGCGACTCCAGAGCCCGGGGTCGCCGCCCTGGAGAGGGCGCGGACTACATCGACTGGCACCGAGCGAGGCGCGGACTCTGGTGAGCAGGTCGGCTCTGGGCCAGCGGCAGACGCCAGGGAGTTTTGGGTCTAGGAGGAGGGAGGGTCGGACACACTCAGGCCCAGAGATGGTCGGAGACAGCATGAGGACGTCCTTGGGGACCCCACCCCCGACGACTCTGGACATGGACGGTGCGCAGACGCCCAGGGGACGCCGAGCAGCGGAAGGGCCCGACGCATGAAGGACGTGGGGTGAGGGGAGCGAGGGATCCGCGGACCCCGGGACCGCTGACGCAGTGGCTGACAGACGAAGGGAGAGTTGGACTCACGGAGGCCTAGGGAGACCCTCACGCCATCTCCCCGCCCGGCGCAGAGAGGCATCCGTGGCTGCGCTGCGGAACCCGAGAGGAGGAGGATAGCCGGCCCGTCCATCCTCACCATGACCAGCTGCCGCCACCATTCCGGATACTTGGCAGACGACGAGGCCGGCCACCCCACCTACGTGGCCCGGGTAAGTGTGTCCGGTAGGGCCCTGACACCCAAGATGCCCCAAAATGTGCCCCACCAGTTCCAGCACCCCAGATCACAGCCCCCCTTTCTCAGTGCCTATTGACCTCATCTCTGAGCCTCTAAGTGACATTCTTATCACCTTGACCACTCCTCTGACCGCCCGCTGGGCCTTAGTCACCCGCAACTTCATTCACCGGGTCCCCTGACCTCTAGCAGCTCTGGAGGAGTTTGGTAGAGTGGTACCCGAGTGGGAGCATGGAATCTACTCAGGGCCCAAGCCTCAAAGTTTCAAAAGCAGCCATGGGGGGCCCAGGGGGCAGGACTACAGGTGGTCTGTATAGTGGAGACAGGGCTGGTCTGCTCAAAGTACAGATGAGGAGCCCAAGTAGGACTCAGGGGTTTGTGATTGCCCATTCCTGCCCTGTGTGAGGGCAGAAGTGGGCTTTCAGGCTCCCTAGCCACATCTTGTATATATGAAATGTATGTGTCGGGGAAGCATCAGGGTGACCCAAAATCGATCCCTACTTTGCAGAAGAGGAAATTGGACCTCAAGCGGGGCCATCATGCCCAGGGTGTCACAGCCTGCAGTGGCAGAGCCAGGGTCCAAATCCAGGAACTTCCTGACTCCAAAACACACTTCCTTCCACTGCCCACTCCCACTCAGCTCCTGGCACCCTGGGAGGACCTGCAGGGACCCCTACCCCTGTGGAACATCCCTGCCCTATGTGACATGTCTGTCTGCTCTGGTGCAGCCGCCTAAGAAGCCACTGTTCCCAGAAATGGGGCAAGCCTCCAAGTTGGGCCACATGCCGCACCCACCATCAAGGTACATCCCCACAGACAGCTTAAGGCTCCAAGGCCACCGACGAAACCCAAGGGACGCTCGGCCCTTTGGTAGCTTCCTGGATTTCCTCGTCGAGTGTCAGGTGCTAGACAGCCTACAGACGGTGGTGGAAGAGGCAACTGAGCGCGTGACCACTATGAAGACAGCGGCTGGGGTGCCACTGGTGGAGGTGCAGGACCCGATAGAGGTGCCGAGGGGTGGGCGGCGGGTGCGCGCCCGGCCCAGCCTCAGTACCCTGCACCGGCACCGGGCCCGGCCCAGCCTCTGCACTGGATGGCCCAACAACTACCCATCCTCCTCCAGCTCCACATCTGACTCCCATAGCAGCTTCACAGCTGGCTGGCTGGGCTCACACAGCCAGGACAGTGACCTGGGCACCCATGGCAAGGGCTCACTGCCACCCATGAAGGACAGGCTTTTGCTGGAGAAGAACCTCAAACGGCTGCTGAAGCTGGAGAACAGAGGGGTGAGATCTAGGGCCATGGCCCAGGGTGGGTGGGATGGACCCCAGTCCAGAGCCCAGGGCCAGGGTTAGGCCTTGCTTGGTTGCTCTTGGATGCCCCTGAAAGCCCCCCTCTCTCTGCAGAAAGGCCTGGGTCAGTCCTGCTTCCGGAGGGACTCCCTGCTGTGGGACTCACTGGGCAGCCAGTCCAGCAGCCAGTGGACCCAGACCCAGGAGCCACCTCTGTCCTGGTTCTCAGGCCTACTGGACTCAAGCACAGGCACACCCCAAACATCAGAGCCCGGGCCTGGAGAACAGGAACTGACCTTCCTCAAGCGAGGGTTTGATAAGAAGATCAAGTCCTTGTTGAGCCAGCCAGCGTCCTTTGACCCGCCTGGCTACTGTTCATTCCGTGAGCCCCATCAGACCCTGGACTTTCTGGCTGAGCACCACCTCTTCCCCGCCTTGCAGAGTGTGGTCCGCCAGGCTGTGGACAAGCTCAGTGGAGCCTGCCGCCACGATGGCTGCCCTCTCTTCCCATCAGAATGGGAGCTCCCAACAGAGCCCAATTCTGACTCCACAACAGGTTCCAAGCCAGCCACACCCACCGATGGGGAGGAGCCCGAAGATGTGCTTCCCACCCAAGTCTCCAGCTCCAAGATGATTCGAAGAAAGAGCATCAAGGGCAGAGGATGGGCCAAGCCCAAGGAAGGTGGTTCCCCTGTGTCTAGTACCCAAGTGGCCACCAGATTCAGGATCGAGGTGACACCCACAGAAGAACCCAAGGTTCCCTCACCCCACCCCAGACAGGAGGCTCCTGAGCAGGACCCTGAAGTACAGAGACCACACATACCTTCTTCTGGGCCCCTGAGCTCCAGCCAGAAGGCCCATTCCTGGCGGAGCGTGCACCCCACCCTGCCTGCCCCTGGGATCATGGTGGAAGGGTCCTCCAGCCAGATCCAGCCCACCATCCAGAGCATAGCTCCTCTCACCTCCCCCTGCCCTGGCTTTTCCCACCACCTTCCTGTGCTCTCACCGCTTGCCTCCTCAGTAAGAAGCTTCTCCCCATCTCCTGTTTCACTGTACCCAGACACGACCTCAAGGGTGGGGCTAGGAAGCTTAGGGAAAGGTCTGCATGGGAAAGGCTCCTTCAACTACCACCTTTAGCAACCACTGTCCCAGGTATCTTGCCCTGCACAGTGGAAACCACCTGAGCAGGTGACAAGCTGATGGGGAGCAGAAATCCTGGCCTAAGCTACTGCCAGGTGTGGACAAAGATGAATAAAGCCTATTTTTTATCCTGGGTATTTTTGTAATGTTTGCATGTGAATCTCAGAGGCCCTTCTATGTGGGCAGCGTCCTGTCCCTTGTGGATAGCAGCCTAAGCCAGAGTGGGGCTCTGCATCCTAGGTCCGGCTCCCTCTGCTTCCACTACCTAGGCCAGGACTCTCCAGTGTGTCTGCTGAGAGGGAGTTGCTCAGGAAGGGTATGGAGAAGACAAAGGTGGCTTCACCCTGTTAGGTCCCCAGCACAGCCCCTGACTCTCGTCTCCCCCATCGAGGCCCAGGCAGGCTTCCCTCCTCTGAACCTTGGCCTGGGGGAGAACCTACCAGAGCCGAGGTTATCCAGGCTCCAGTTTGGCTGACGCCATGACTGACGTCACCAGCCTTGCCGCAGGCCTGACTGGTGTGGTCGGCGTGAGGAGGCCACTGTGGTAAGTGTGAGGGTGTGGCTGACACGCAGGACCTGTGCTCAACCTGTGGACTGAGACAGCACAGCAGATGTGGCAGGGCCGTACGGCTAGTGTGACGACAAGCATGGCATCTGTGTGGGTGACGTGGAGGGTGCTCTGGGTGTGAGGGGGCACCCTAAGGCATTGGGAGTGGCATGACGTGTCTTCCTTTCCCTCCCTGGCTGTTGCACAGAGCCCCAATGACAAGTTCATGAGGAAGAAGCCACTACCCTCCGTCTCTTCCAAGTCTACCGTATCCCACCTCTCCAACCCCTTGTACGAGGAGCTTGTCAGCTACTTGGTGGAGCAGGTTGTGTCCTTGCTCATCTACAAGTACAAGTTCGAGAAGAACCTTTCGAAGCAGCTGGGCTTCATCTCCTTCCCTGTCACCGAGATGCTCATGGACCTCTTCCTGGGATTCAAGAAGGTGACGGGGTCCCGCATCTGCCTGTCCTCAAAGATCGACTGGAGCTGTCTGCGGCGCAGGCTGGAGGAGGCCGAGTGGGACCGGCAGCTGTCCAAACAAGCATCCCAGCATGACTCCGCCTCCCAGCGCAGCTCCCGCCACGGCACCATCCACCGCGGGGCCCCGCACCACGGGGCGCCCCACAGCAGCACGGAGTCGCCCTCCACACTGCTGGAGCCAGCCCCCCAAGCGGATCAGGAGGAGGCCACGGAGTCCAGCTTCGACAGTGAGTTTCCCGACTCTCAGCTGCTGGCGGCTCAGGAGGATACTACAGCCGAGGAGCAGGAACCCGCGAACCAGCGAGAGTCCAGGCCCTCCGTGTTCTCGGGCCCAGGCGTGGGCTCTCATCAGCGTCAGGAAGTAGTAGACATGGACAGTCAGAGCGATGAGGTGGAAAAGGATGAGCAGGAGGAGGAGGATTTCTTAGGGGACAATGGCCCATTCCAGAGCTCCCCCGAGCCTCAAGTGGAGATGGGGCTCAGCCACTCCACAAACGTGGGCCGCAGTAACCCTCCGTGAGGGCCCCTGTAAGCTGCACCCAGCGCTTGATTCCCTGCTCCTCCTCTTGCTCCAGTGGACTGCTGCCCTTCCCCCCCCGCCGCCCCAGCCGGTCCCTGCCCTGAGCAGAGGTCAGGGTGGGCTGGATGCCCATGAGGAGCTCTGCTGGCCTGTCAGGGGAGCCAACAGGGGAAATAAAGCTTGTGTTGATAGAGCACAGTTTTCTCGACCAGAGATTGCAGCCCCACTTCTGCAGGACTGAGCACCTGCCCTGGAGTAACACCTCAGGCAGGCCTTCCTGACAGCTGCCGTGCTCTGACCCCCTGACCTAATGTGCTCTGCTTGAACACAAGTCCCTGCTCCGGGCTCTTCCTCCACTCCAGTGTGCACCTTTCCTGGCTCTTCCAGCCTCTTAGAACTCATGGTCTCTTTCCCTAACAGTCCCTGTGCATCATGGTCCTGCTTCCAGAGGGCTCCTCTTCTGCCAGGGCAGCACCCTGCTCCCTCTGACATGCCACACCCTCACGTTCCTCTCGGGAACCATGCAGTCGCCCTTTCCTGTTGCCCGCTGTCTTTCTAATTTGTATTTCCCATCTCTAACTCCCGAATCTGGAGGGTCCAAGCTAGGTCCCATGGAGGCTGCTGGCCTGGCAAGCTGTGGGTTGGCTGCCGCAGGCTGGCCATGTGATTATTATCCCCTTTCAGCAGTGCCCCTGGGCCAGACAGCTTTCTCTGGAAGGGTCTGCAGACTTGGCTGGTGTTGTGATTGGCAGGTCTCATCTCCAAGGTTCTCCTGGGGCTTCTGGCCATCCTGTGCCACGAGCTCAGCACCCTCTCCCTCTCTGCCTTCCCGGGGCAGCCTTTTTGTTCCCCAATCCAGGCATCTTCACCCAGGGAGCTGTTTGACCTCTCACCACCACCCTGTCACCCTTGTGGCCAAGAGAGCACGTGAAGATGCTCCACTCTGCCTTGCTGTGTGGGCTTCCACTGCAGGGAGACTGGCAGGTGTCCCACACCTCCCCCTGGATCCCGCCTGGGTGTATAGAGCCCAAGTCTGCTTAACCCAGCCTGATCGTGCTCAGTGGCCCACATGTGAAGACAAAGTGATTATAGCGCTGCTCTGGAGCCGGGCAGGGAGGACCTTCCACAGCACATCCATGCCCTGCAATTCGGGAAGAAACACTTCCTCTGCTCTAGTCAAGAGGGACCAGGGCCCTAAGGTAGGTGGGTCAGGGACCCATTGTTCCAGAAAGCTCTTGTGGCAAGGATCTTTTAGGGCATATGCTCAGCTCATAAGGCCCATTCCCTGAGGCCACCCACTGCCACCACCACCATAGTGTGGGGCCACAACATTTTTGTACCTTCTTCCCATACCACTTGGCCACAGTTGATTAGCCCTCTTGATACATCCCTATTCCAAGCTGGGCCAGTCAGGTATTTTTTTCCCCAGGAGCTGGTAATTGGGATGGACCGAGAGATTTTTTTTTTTAAGTTTATTTTTTTTTAAATTTTTTTTAAAGATTTTATATATTTATTCATGAGAGACAGAGAGAGAGAGAGGCAGAGGGAGAAGCAGGCTCCCAAGGAGCAGGGAGCCCGATGCGGGACCCGATCCCAGGACCCTGGGATCATGACCTGAGCCGAAGGCAGACGCCCAACCATCTGAGCCACCCAGGCGCCCTTAAGTTTATTTTTAGTAATCTCTCCACCTAAGGTGGGGCTTGAACTCACAACCCCGAGATCAAAAGTCGCATGCTCTTCCAAATGAGCCAGCTAGGCGCCCCAAGATAAACTGGGAGATTCTGGCGCAATTTGCACTGATTGCTAAAGACCAGTGTGGACAGTGTGGCACAGCCATCTCCCAGCCCTCCCCAGAGAGGCAAGAAATTCTGTCTGCAGAAAAGAGCCTGGAGGGGATCCCTAGGGCTCTGAGACACAGCAGCCGGCACGATACCTGCCAACTTTCCAGGTCTCTCTGCCAAGTCCTCAAGGGGGGAAAAAGAACATATCCCCTTCTGGCCTCAGAAGCACGTATCTAGAGAATGTGAAGTAAGAACCACTGGTCCTCTTGCAGCTTGTGCTCCGAAGTCCCAAAACAGCATTTCTGTGCTATTCTCTTGGTCAAAGCAAATTACCATGCCGGCCCAGATTCAGTGTTTTGATGAGAGAGTCCATGTCTTGATGAGAGAAGGAGCTTACACTTATGGGGATGGGAGGAATTGTTCGTAGCCATATTTGGAGGCCAGCTTACCAACCGCCCCCCCACCCCTCCCCGTAGCTGATTGCACCTTGAGCAATCCCTGGAACCAAGTTGAGCAGATGAGCATGTGAACCTGAAGACAAACTGTGACTGGAAAGTGGAGGTCTGTGGAGACACCATAATCCACCCTGAGCATCTGCACATAGGGTGAGCTGGGGGAAGCAGGGAAAGGGAATAGCTGTGAGAAGGCATGAGGCCCTGAGAAAGTCGAGGGACAACCACGTTGGCTTCTCCTACTCCAGTTCTGGGGTCTGTGCTATACTTGGAATCCTGTTTTTGCCTGTGGGGGAGATTGCCTGCTGTGTCCTCACCATCCTCTGGTCTTACATGCAGTGGGAAGCTGTTGGCAGCTTTAAGCAGGTGCCTGGCATGATTTGAGATATATATATATGTGTGTATATATATATATATATATTTTTTAAGATTTTAAGTAATCCCTACACCCGCATGGGGCTCAAACTCACAACCCTGAGATCAAGAGTTGCATGCTCCACCAACTGAGTCAGCCAGGCACCCCTGATTTCAAAAAAAAATTTTTTTGTTTTAAGTAGGCTCCACGCTCAATGTGGGTCATGAACTCATAACCCCTGACATCAAGAGTCACATGCTGTACTGACTGAGCCAGCCAGGTGCCCCCTGATATATGCTTTCTAAGGTATAAATCACTCCCCTGTGTGGAGAGTGATTTGGAGGGGCCTGAGCAGTGGAAGTACTGAAATCTGTCAGGGGGCAATGGTCCATATCTGGAGAGGCGATACCGATAGTGGAGAGTGTCTTGGATTAGGGTGGTGATAAGGAAAGCAGGAGAGATGCTTTACAATCTGTTTTGGATTTAGAGCCATCAAGATGTGTTGAATGAGATGTGAGAAATGTGGTAAAGAGGGGAATTAAAGATAAGTCCCAGTTTGGGGGCTGAATCAAGGCAAATGGAGGTGCCATTACTGAGACTCAGAAGCCTGGGGGAGAGCGGGGAGAAGTTTGAGGGAGGACACCAAGAATTCTGCTCTGGACATATTAAGTCTGAGATGCTTGTTGGTATGTCCAAGAGGACATATCCATTGCTTCCCAGATTATACTCTAGCCCCTCCACGGTGGAGTGGAGGCCCCTCAAGTGAGTGCAGGGTCTGCCAATGCCAGGGCAGACCTTTAGCAATTTAGACACACTGAACCCTGAAAAGATCAAGTGTCTTATCCCATATGTAATTCAAAATAGAAACACTATTAAACACGAAAACCCCAAAATTACATGTTGCTGTAATTAAAATGGCTTTACTCTGGATTTTTTGAATGCAAAATTCGGAATGATTTAATTAAATATAAACTTTTCTCCCTGCTTTGTTGGTGCCTCAAGTGCAGGGGTAGTCAGCCTATTGAGTAATGTAGCCCAGAGCCAGTTCCCCAGTGGCCCCCAGCACAGGGCCTGGAGTTAAGTCAACATAAGAACGTTCCACAAATGAATAAATAAACAGTCGTATAAGTTTTTCTCCCTTGAAGATTGAGCTGACAGCCCTCTGAGAAGGCACTGCGACAACGACCCACTCATATCGGAAACCTGGCACACTTAGTACCCACAGTCACTTGGTCTCCCAGCGTTCTGGTTTCCTAAGAAACTTTGGGGCTTTCTGGTGAGAACCAATCATTATCCTCAACACTACAGATCCCTGCTGCCCTCTGCTGCCCGATGGCCGAGTGCATGTGATTCTGCCCTGGAAAGAGTCAGTGAGTTGCCAGGGGAATTAAAAAACCCCAGGGTCCAGGGACTGAGGTGACCCATTCTCAGAAAGGAGGCGATGACCGAATGACTGGGGAATTAACTAATCCCGGGATCCAGGGACTGAAGAACCAAGTTATCCAGTATCTGAGATCCATCGACCTCGTGACCACAAAATCTAGTGGTCCATCAACCCTGAAGCTGAGGACCCAGAGTTGAGAGGAAAGATCGTGATTGAAAGCCCGACGATCCAAGATCAAGGGGTTTTGTGAACACGTGCCCGCAGGGTCCTGGGATCCCCAGCCAGGTGTCCAGGGGCTCAGAGGCCCCTGGGTGGGGCGCCTGAACCTACAGCGCTGCTCCGCAGCGTCTCTCTAACCATTCGGCGCCGCACCAACCTTCCCTTAGCATTCATTGGTGAGTCCTCGGAAGCGTGGACCAATCAAAGCCCTCCTCGTGTCTCCAGCCCCCTCCCATCGCCGCTCTGGAAAGCCGGGGGCGGGCTCCCTCAATGCCGACCCAATGGCAATGCAGGCGGAGCGCCGTGCTGGCTGGCGATTGGCTGCCGATACTGGCTCTGTCAGAGCCGGATTGGCTGGTGGCAGAGACGGAAGCGTCCCATGGGCCCGAGCTGCCGGAGCTCGGCCGGGGCGATGTGGAGCGCGGGCCGTGGCAGAGCTGCCGGACCGGCGCTTCTGGGGCTGCTGCTGACGCTCTTGGTGCCGAGCAGCGGTGCCGCCAAGACCGGCGCAGGGCTCGTGACCTGCGGGTCGGTGCTGAAGCTGTTCAACACGCAACACAGGGTGCGGCTGCACTCGCACGACATCAAATACGGATCCGGTGCGCGGGGCCCGAGACTGGGGTATCGTCAGGGGGCGGGGCCCGAGGCCGGGGGTTTGAAGGTGGGATGGTCTTGAGGGACTCTGCAGGGCTACGAGTCTGGGGGTCTTCAAGGAGCCTGGCTGGGGGACCAAGGGGACCAAGGACCGGCCGTTTTATGGGGGTCGTCGGGATATCGGGGGCGAGGAGGGTCGTCCGGGAGCTGCAGGC